CTTTATTTATTATAAAAATGGGCTCTTAAAAATCAGTCTCACCAAAGTGCATTGGTGGAAAATATTTCGACATTGATTGGCAATTCCAGCTATGCTTTTTTTCACCAGATCACGTACTATAATGCACTTTTGTAACTTTCGATAAGCATAAGAATCAATATTTCATCAGAGCTTTTCTTTTAAGATTTTTAAATGGCTTCAAAAATTTTTACACCAACAAATCAAATTCGTCTAACCAATATAGCTACTGTACGATTAAAAAAAGGTGGCAAACGTTTTGAAATTGCTTGTTATCGAAATAAAGTCGTTTCATGGCGAAATAAAGAGTATGTCATTGTATGTTCATTAATCTTCTAATACGAAAAATTTTCTTTCAGAGAAAAAGATCTTGATGAAGTTCTTCAAACTCATACTGTTTTTTCTAATGTATCTAAAGGTCAAGCAGCTAAAAAAGAAGATTTAGTCAGTGCATTCAATACTGATGATCAAACAAAAATTTGTCTTGAAGTAAAATTTTATTTTTGACGAAAAACAAATAATTGTTTTTTTTTTTGTCTTTGAATAGATTTTAGAAAAAGGTGAATTACAAGTATCGGATAAAGAACGTACTCAACATCTGGAAAATACATTTAAAGAAATTGCATCACTTGTTAGTGGAAAATGTATTAATCCGGAGACAAAACGTCCTTATACTATATCAATTATTGAACAAGCAATGAGAGATATTCATTTTAGTGTTAATCCTAATCGAAATGCTAAACAACAGGTTGAAATCATTTTTTGATTTCTTCTAAATTTATTAAAGAAATTAATTAATTTAGGCACTTGATGTTATTCGTCAATTAAAAGAATCAAATAATATTCCAATTCAACAAGCACAAATGCGTGTACAATTAACGATGCCAGGTACCAAAAACAGCTTATTTTGATATTGTTTTATTATCATCAAACTTATTGTTTTAGCTAAAGATGCGAAAAAAATCAAAGAAAAAATGAACAAATTATCAACAACACCACATGTTGATAATGAAGAATATCTCGGTTCATCCATGCAATTAATTTGTTCAATTGATCCAGGAGTCTTTCGGGAACTGGATGATTTATTAAGTAGTGAAACACGTGGACAAGGACAATTGGAATTATTAAGTTTAATGGATGTTGCTGAGGGAGATGAAACATTCAATGACTTAAATGAGGAGAAAACAGATGAATGATACAAGTCATTAAGTGTTGTTTTAATGAGAGAGTTATACCAAATAAAAGATAGATAAGGATGTGTTGACTTCTTTGAAATTTTATATGAAGCATAAGTTTTTGCAAAAATATCAAGCACCATTAAACCATATTGCTAAATTTTAAACTAATGATTTTGTTTGTTGTTGAAAAGAACAATATTTGTACTACAACTTGTATGTTACATATATTTTTTTCGAATTCAATTTGGAAGAAAACAACTATACTGGTCTAAAAAATGTCTTGCAATTTGAAAAGACTGTATTACACAATTATTTTGAAATATATCAATCAAATGATCACAAAAAAATACATCTAAATGTAGCATATCACGATCTCGATCTATATCATTTGTGCTAAAATACTTTAAATTCATTTTCGATCAGAGCTGTCCATGGGCCACTTTTTTTTCCGGTATGATATAACTCCAGGCGCCTACAAGCCAAGCTGAAAGTCAAAGAATGACCTTCAGCCAGGACTATTTCGATTGATATTTCTGGTCTTTTAAAACCCATTGAATTCTATAATGCTGAATTTGCCTTTCAAAAGATGTTTAATTTCGTACTTTTCTACTAAACATAAGATTATAATGCTGGATATGGAATATTGCTATTATTTATAATCTTTACTACTTATATCGAATAATTCAGAATGCAAAAAAAGCAATTTATCTACGTTACAAAATTTTTTCGAATCCTCATGATGGATGAACGACGATTGACATACCAATCATTATCTTCAATGCTCGTCTCATAAAACCACTTCGATATTCAGCATCATTTTTAAACAAACTTTTCAGTTTATCAATGATTTCTTTTACATTTAATGTTGTCGATGATTCATGATTATAACCATGAATCAGTGACAACAGTAAATGGGTGTAGGTGGGTGTGTGGTTGCGCTTCTCGTCCACACCAACACCCACACGTAGCCACATCCACATCTACACTCACACCCACCCACACCCTCAATTGATAAAGAGTTGTTCAGTACCTTCCATCGATGTCGATCCCTGAAGTTTCTTCTAAGACAAAGTCAGTTCTAATAGTATCAGATTGTAACCAGAACTAAACGTTCCTCATTTTTTTTATGGATATTTCACATTTAAGAAATATTGATATTCGTAAGACTATAATTTCTCTTTTCAAATTTGTATATTGCAAAGCAAGTCGAGTCGATAAAAAGAAGGTTTTAGGAAGTATCGTCACTGAATCGCGTCTCTGCATCCTCCCATATGGTAGTAACCACCGTCGATCAACGATATCTCGGTATCGCGCCAATATGCACCTTTGCCATTATCCCGATCCTTCAAATCTAAATCTGCTACATAAACACGTTCAGGTGTGACGAAGAGAGAACAATCACGCAAGGTCATAGCAATGAGAAAACGTTCGTCGCCTTGGATGACTGACAATGGACCTTTTGGATCCAAATCTATTTGTAACTTGGCTAGTTTGTGAAGCACGCCAGTCCGAAGGACTGATTCGACGAACCATTCTTCGCTATGGATCTGTTTTAAATATTCTGGTGCTCTGAGACTAACAAGTTGAAGGGGACACACTCCGGCTTCCTTGCCCCTCATGATACGCACAGCGCAAGTTCTACAAGTTGTCCAGTCGAGTGGAGCCGATGGACTTTGATTCAACCATTTCGGCTTGAATTCGACTGCTCCAGACAGATCTTTCATGACTAGTCCATATGGTTCGTTCTCGTCTAAAAGCACGGTTGTCTTCTTGTGTCGCGATGTCTTCTTCAAATTGCCGTTGAGCTGAAGTAGAAGCTCCAAATGAAGTTCGATTGGTCTTATTGAAAGAATCAAGTCTCCAAGGAGTGGTCTCAGCTTACTATCGGTAAAGTCAACGAGTGCCATTGTAGATGGAGATGTAACCAATTTCTTACGCAAGCGCAACAATTTCCCCTGTAGTTTGGCTTCATTTCCCAAGTATCTGTAGATGATATTCGCGCCTCCTTCAGTCATGTACTCGAGTTCGTTTGGTTTTATTTGTATCTTCAGCGGTGATATTGGATTTTGCTGAATATGAAGACCAGATAGATTTGAACGGTGCTCGCCGTGTTCAAGAATACAATTACAACTGTCGTTGTTCCAGCAGCTCGGGTTGGAAAAATCATTCATATCTATGCTCATCTAGTGAAGAAACAAAAACAAAAAGCAGTAAAATTTGATACATCTTCAGTTTGAATCGATCGAAAATATTTGAAATACCGATCGAAATCACAATTGAGTTTTTCTTTCAGTTTATTAAAAATGAAAATTATCCAATTACTGTCAGCATACTTCATCTTGTAATCAGATGGCTTACGCAATATTTTTGATTCAGTTGGAAAAAACAAAACTCACAAAGGAATGTTGCAGAATGAGTATGTCAGCTAATGATTAATTTCAGCTGTTATTCTTTCCATTTGCATAATTGAATATTAACAAAATGACAAGCAATGCAAGAATCAACTCACTTTTTCTTTTCTCGTGGACTGCATATGCGAGCATCATATTATGTGCAGATGAAATGACAGCAGCACATGTTGTGCAAAACAATTTTCTCGCGCACGGAACGATAAAGCATGTAATTTTTTTTCTTCTGTTCGTCACATCATCAATATTTGCATCAAATACTCTTCAGCGTCTCGAAAATGAATAACGTTATACATACTCTTCGTTGCATTTCCAAATTCGAAAAATAATTCTTCCTTGACTTATGTCAAAATGTTGCTTATCTACGAAATATAGCATTTAAAAATGTCTCGAAATGTCAGATAATCTTGAATGTTCTAGGATAGCTCATACAATATGTTAAATAAACAAAATAGAGCATGTATTGTGATCAATACGATTGCCAACACTGTTAGATAAATAAATCAATAGCGTAGTGGAAGGGTGTGGGTGTAGGCGTTAACCTATCCATACATACACACCTACAGTCTTTCCGAAGGAGGATTGGTATCGAGAGTATCATTTGAAATTTCCTCTATTTCAAGAAAAGATAAGAAATGATGCATTGTAAATTGAAGTAACATTTGTGTGTTTCTTGTTCTCTATATTTTATAAGCATTATGAATCGATACAGAGCGCAGAATAATCAAAACACGTGATGAACAATTATTTATATTATTATTTGTTGATTGCTTTCAATTGGCTTTTATTTCATGCTCATTGAAAAGAAGATGACTATGGTGTTCATTGATGAGGGTGTGGGATGTGAGTGTTGCGAGTATTCATATTGACACACCCACCCTCACACCCACACGCACACAACATCAAAATATTCTAAATAGGGTATTGGTGTGGGGAAAAACAGGAGCCACACACCCTTCCCGTATAACTTTCACGATTCCTATTACGTTGTCATTTTTCGTATGTATCTTTAATTGTTATGCTATACTGTCTTTGCGTAACAAAAATATATTTATTTCAAAGATCTATTTCATGACATCAAATTATTGTGAGTCATATTACAAGAAGGCAGGTATTAGAGAAGTGATCGATTTGGTCTCAAACTGGATGAAAATCGGTTCAGTTTGAACTTTTCGAAAAGTCTATCGGTTAGGTTTGCAGAAAAGTTGGAGGCGATTTTATATCTACCATTAATTTTATATTATAATAACGGAGAGACTTATCTCCAGATATGGTTGATGATGTCCTAGATGAATATTTTTCCTAATGCTTGATGTTTCCTGTTTTAGTCTAGGTTTTTAAGACATATTTTCAGTTCACTATTTGAACTATTTCATTAATCCTAAAGTGAATGACAATAATATGTCAATCTATTAGTTGAAAAATCAACTTCTTCAATAGTATATTCAACTAGAATAATGAAACGCAGTTGTGAAGAAATTTAAAAGAAAAAGTTTTATAGTTTATATTTAATGTCATTATAGTTGTATAGTGAACATCAAAAAAATTAAAATCAGAGATGTTTTTTGAGTTAAATAAACTCTCTTAAGAAATACTGAAAGAGATATTTTAATTAAGTATGAGCTAAATCAAGGCTAGTATTACATTGGAAAAAGAAGGAAAACTCCGAGACACTATACTTCTTTAAGGGTAAGCTCTACAATAAGTATTTCACACTTAATCCAGTAAGAAAAAGATAACGCTTGTACCTGAAATTAGTTTTGAAATTTAAGTTTATGTTGATTAATTACATAATGCTTTATTTTTTAAACAAAACTTTCTCATTCACATAAAATTTAGACAACTGACAGCTTGTCAACTACTGCAAACAAAATGATAAAAGAGGATGACGATTTCTCATAGAAATACCGCTGAAATTTCAGTTATGTAACAATATATCCTTGAGTTTCTCTTTGTTTCGATTTATATTTCAGAATTGGAGAAGAGATATATGAGAAATAAATGTAAATAAGATTTTCGGCTATTTTTTTATACAGATAATCGAATAGTTTGCATGGGTAAAAATGAAAGTAAACCAATTCATTTAGAAACAATTTCCACTTTCAATAGTATGACGATAAAAATTTCAGAAATAATATTTGACTGAAAAGAATAATCTTCTGTACTGTATTTAGAGTGATCGACTCTTGTAAATACTGTACTTATTTCTATGAAATAGCAGAAGCAAAATACAATGAAGTTTTCCCTAAAAATGAAGAACAGAAGATTTTCTCAATGTCAGATATATAATATTTAGTATCAAATTTGAGAGGAGCGTAACCTACACAACTCGATATAAGTTTACAACAAAAATCCGAGACGACAATTAGATAGTTTGAAAAAAAAAATTTATAACCTCAAGTTTTGTATAAAGCTAGAATTTAGAATTATCTTTAAGTACCCCAAAAGTAAAGTACATAAAACTACTCCAATTCAATTCATCAATGATGTATTTAAAAAACCCTTCATAGAACCAGTTTGAGGCTAATGCCTTTACCAAATTATGATAAGTTTTGCGCCTTTTTCACTGGCATTCGTTTTTTATTCGGTTCATATAAAACATGCAATGAT